ATATTATAAAAAATAAATAAATTTCAAAAAAATAAAAAAATCCGGCCCAAAGTTAAAAAAAATTAATTTGTTTATAAAAAAAAAATTTTTTTTAATTTTTTGTTTACATTTCTTAAAAGTCGAAAGAAAACTAAAACTTTCATGCTTTAGCAACTTTTTCCTAAACTCAATATTTTTGGTCTTATAAGCTGCTGAATATAGGTCACTGATCTATATACTAACTGGATGGCGTATGCCATGTAAAGTTGGAGCTAGTTTCTGCGACCAATAGAACGCCATTTTTTTTCCCCCGAGTGTGACTCGTATACATTCGGCATTCTTTGTGATTTTTTCGCGCGAATATTCAAAACAATAATATATTCTGTTTGTAAAATTTAACGATTTTATGAAATTTCCTTTAAGAAAAGCAGTATACAAACAAATATATTTTAAAAGAATATATCTCATAATAATAATCCATATTTGCGACAATAATTTTTGGGAAAAAGGTTAGTAATATATTTAAACGCTTGTGAAAATGTTTTATTTAGGAAAAGAATCTAATTTACAAAAATCAATCTAAGTTTTAAAATTATAATGGTATACATATAACATGATATAATGTGATATATATTTTAAACTTTTGACTAAAATTTAAATTAAATTAAGTAAGATAATTAAAACACATATATAATAATATAAAATATAATATAGTTAAAAAAAATAGTACATAATTAAAAAAGTATGTAAATATACTTTCAATAAAACAAGTGGCAATAAATGCCAAAAAATGATTGTTTCATTTGTATATCTATCATTAAAACTATTTACTTACGTAATAAAAAGGAACTTCCTTTTAGACAGTAATAAATTGTAGAATATCAAGAGATAATTAAGAAGGAAGTACTTTTGTAGAAATTCCTCATGGCAATTTTATGTTACTTCTGACTAAAAATATTTTGCGCTGTGAAATTAAAAAGTATTTATTATCTGGAAACAAAGTTATAAATTACATAATGCAGTGAAATAGTTTAAGGTAAATGGAAACATATATGATGGGTTTGACAAATAATGAATGTTTTAGGTAAAATGAAAGAAAAGCATTGATTGTGAAAAAGAATTTTTGTTTAATTGATTGAGTAATAGTAATAATTTTACAGTGTAGGAAAAGAATTATTCCAAAAATCCCAAACATGCATGTCGAAAGATAATGAAACTTCACAAACATTTTTAAAAAAGCTAAAAATAAAGAGAACTGATTGGAAAATAATATTTTTTCTATGACTAATTTTAAAAAAGTTATTTTTTCAAATAAATAAATAATTTTTTTTCTTTAAAACATAATATTTTTTATACGAATAAAATTTGGACTATTAGTCAACGAAAATAATTTTTCCCTGTATTAAATTAAATAATTTTTCTTCCAATAAATTTCAGACTTATGGACAGCATACATAAATATTATGTTTCTATTGTACTACTAATACTTTTTAGACTTGTAGTCGACATATATATGATTTTTCTTTGGTTCTACTAACACCTTTTATATTAATAAGCAACAAAAATAATAGTTTTCTTGTGTTCTACTAGTACTTTTGGATTTATAAATAATAATACAAAAACAGTAATAAAAATGTGACTTTTTAAACAAATTAAAGTTAGTTTTGAATCATCTAATATCACAATTTTCTACGTGACAGTGTCAATTATTGGCCGGCCCAAATAATTTGTCGATTCATATGATGTCGACGACTAACTCCTGTCAGTTTATACGTAGCTGACTTTGTAGCTGCAAACATACGTAACTGAATGTACGTTTTACAAACTTGTTTCGATAGCAAATAAATATGATTGACCTCTTCTATAGAGTTGTCGAACATGTGATCATTTAATGAGGTAAATAATGTGCATGGAGGTTGTAAAACATTTTGCAAAACAGAAGAGCAAAGCAATGCCGGAAAGTTTTTTTCTGAAGGAATCATTCCATCGAATTTTGCAAGGGAATTTCGAAAAAATATTTCCGTAACCTTACAAATTTTGACCACCGACTGACTTGGAAATATTAACCCTCCCTTACTTTTTGCTTCGATCAACCTATTATCTGACAATCTTTGAGATTCTGATTGAAGAAGAGCTTGACGACAAGACTCACACCATATCACTGATTGTTTCTGATAAATAAGTTTTCTTATCACCCATCCAGCAATATAACCTATCGTAGTTTCTGAAAAACTTGATAAAGTTGTAGGAATACTGTATTCAAACTCATTCATGAAGTTGTCATCATCAAGGCTTTCCATAGCCTGCAAACCGTACTTTCTACATACCCTCATATTTTGGGTATGTAGAATCCATTGCGATCACATTTCCATTAGTTGCTTCAATTTCTTGGCGTACTAAGAGTCTCTTATACGCAGACACAAATTGCGAGGCAGTTGGATTTGGGCTCCAACCGCCACATTTTCGTATTGCACAAAAAAGAGCTCCAAGTGGTCCTGACTGAATTTATATGTGAGTAAATATGATAACTGAGATTGAGGTGGTGAAACAAGAGTATCAAAAAGAGATATCACAGATTCAACAGCTGTTATGAAACCAACAAATGGTACGTACCTACGGGTTTTATACATTGGTGTACCTTCCAAATTCGTAATACCCTTTAGATACTCTATGTCTTCTAGAATCGATTGACGCCAAAATGTTTCATTGCTTTTCCGCAAAGGAGCTTTAAATCCACGCCCGTAAGGACTGCGAGAGTTTAAAAAATCGAACAATCTATCAACAACCCTGATGAATTTTACAGTTGCTTCTGATCCTTCAAATGATTTAATTTCTAAAACACGAGAACAAAAATCTATAGCATCTGCAGTGCTACTACTAAGTGTTTGGGCAGCAAGATTCACTTTCATTTTACTTTTAAAGTACAAAATATGCACCATTCTAACTTTATTTGCAGCCCTTAAGCCTTCATCTTCTTGTAGTTTAGCTAATTCTTCTATAAACTTCCAACAAATTAAATTTCCGTCCTTATCTTTTAAAACTTTCATGTCACCTAAACAATTTCTCATGAGTTTCAGCATGTGGCATGGATCTAAAATAACGTGCACTTTTTCTCCAGAGATGGGATGATTAAAGAAAGGTTTTGGATCAGGCATATTAAAATTAGCACCAAGTAATTTCATAGTAGAAAAATGTTCCTGAGGGCCGTCTAAAGTTATAGAAGTTACTTTAACACCAATTTCATGTAATTTAATAAGGGCCTCAGTGATTAACGAAGAATGAGTTTTAGAAGTTACTCCATTAACTAGAAAATACCCTATTGGTATTTTCCACGATTCATGAAGACAAACTACCAGAAGCACAAGAGCATTTTTCGCCAAAGGAAGAGTGTCATCTGATTGAATGTCAGTACCTACATTAACGTAACCTCTTACAGATCCATTTGGTAAATATTGAAGACCTTTTTTAATACCCATTTCATCTGACATCAGAGATACTAAAACTTCTTTTCCTTGACTTCTAGCTTGCTCAACCTTATGCTTAAGAGCATCGAAACTTTCCACAGTGAACCCTGGTTCACCATTGATTGTTGAGTACCATGCTCTTAAAGAACTAGGATGAGGCAAAGCAAAACAGAATTTTCGACGAATGAAACTATACGCTTTTGGGGAATAAAAATGAAGCGTCATTGCGAATGAACGAAGTGAAGGAGGATACTGCTCACGAGAAATTTTAATTTTAGAATTCAAACCCTGTCGACTTTTAAAGCAAGTTTTACGACTACCTGTTACTGTTTTTAGGTGCATTTTTACAATAACGTTCTAAAAATTGACTCACATCATTGCTACTGTCATTATTAGCTATTGATTCTAAGCATGCAAAGCCAGTTTCACACATTGGTTTAGTTTTTTTTAATTCACTTACTATGTCTTTCAAGCTGGATATTTTTTTTTCCATTCGAACAATTTTTTGATTATTATTTCGAAGAGCAGTTTTCAATCTCTTGTTGCTTTCTTGTACCTCTAATAACTTTCTTTTTAATTTCCCTGGTAAAGTGGCATAATTATGATCTGCAGAAGTACATTGTACTGTTATCTGTTCTTCTCTGCAACTTGAATTATTATTATCATTGCAGTCTATTGAAGGTGCATCTTCAACAACCATCATTTCTTCTTGAACAGATGTCTGTTCATCGTCATAAGCAATAGGTATCGTCTCGGGCACAATTGGATTCTCTAAGTCAGGTGTCAGTCTTTCACTCTCTTGGTGTAAGTCTGAAAAAAGTATATGAGGCTAAAGTCGGCAACGTTTTTAACCCTCCTACAGTTTTACCATTTTTTCATTTTCCGGAAAATAAATTTACAATTGTGTTAAAATAAATTTTCATAATTTAATTTTTACTTTAAAACAAAAAATCAAAAAAAAAATTTTTGTATGTTACATTCATTTCTAATTTTCATGTGAACAAATATTAATGAAATTGTATAAAAATATAATAATTGTTACAATAGGATACAATAATATAATATAAATAGACTATATTAAAATTATTAAAAAAAAATTTCTTAAAAATAATATGAATTTGAATTAAAAGTAAAGTAAATCGTTGCATTACTTTTTTCGTTTTTAAAAACTCTGCTGACTTGAGCCTCATAAAAATTAATTTTTTTGTTAATAAGAAACTTATTCTAAAAATAATTTAATTACTTTTATTTACCGTTTGATGATATTTCTCCAAAAACTGTTGGTACTGCGCTTTTTTTTAAATATCCCTTTCGACGCTCGTGATTCCGATAACAATCATTTTCAAAATGATTCGAACAAATCAAGCTTGTCTGCGATGGGATTATCCCTTTCGATCGTGTTGATTTTAACCACATTTTCAAAAGAACCGCATCGTTTTCAGGAAACCTATATATTTTATTTATTTAATAATATTTTCTTTCAGTATTGTAATAAGATAAAATTTTTATTCCGATAATTGAAAGATAAATATTATTTATTATAAACGAATATTGCTGAAAATAAAAAAGAGTTTTAATTTTGAAACTTACGTGTGAAATGATGGACAGTTTGCTTGATACTGATGTACGCCACAACAAGCGCAATATTTCCATATTCTTTTGTTGAATAAATTTGGAATGCTTTCTGAAATTAATTTTTTGTTATCCAATTTAATACCATCTTTTGTAAAATGGTCAGAACATAGTCTCCAAGATTTATGTGGTGGATAGTCACAATCTAAACCTAAATTTTTATACCATGACTTTAATAGAGTGTCATTAGTTAAAGGAAACCTGCAATGATAAAAAGAAAAAACGTAAATTTAAAACTGAAAATAATTTCACGAAATTTAGTAAATTTAATTAATAGTAAACTTCAACAAGAATTAGTTAAGAATTTAAAAAAACACCACATAACCTTCAAATTAAAAAACATGTAAATAGTATATAAAAATATACGCAATTTAATAATTTTATTGCTTTTGTATACTTACTTTATTAAAAATCGATTTGCATTAACTTTTTCTCCACAATACATACACCTATATTGCATTTTTATATAATTTACTTAAATAATTTCATTGATGTAATTTTATGTTGTTGCTAATATACCAACGTAAACAGAGATACGAACGTTTCCGAAAACACACGAACCACACTCGGCGTAAAAATATAATACCATTTCCAATTAATTAAGTCGTCGCTTATTTTAAAGCTGAAATTCTAACGAAAATTTCTGTGTTTTCAGAAAAACTTTTTCTAAATTTTTCTAGATTTTTGAAAAAGTTGAAGTCCAGAGTCAAAAATTGGAAAATTTGATAATTTTTTTTATTTCTTGCTCACTCTACAACTTAAAAAATAAATAACGAAATGACTTCAAAGATGACTTATTTTACGCAAAATTTAATCAGCTTTCCAACCGTATTTAAGTTTTTTTTGTTCCTCCTTTTATTCCCGAGATTAGATTGAAAAAGTAATGGCATGTTTTTTCATAGAGTCGAATGCAATCGTCCTGATACTTTTGGACGGTAGTGTATGTCCGCAAAATTTTGTTCGCGTATAACTTGAAAACGTCTTGACCGATTGAAGTAAAATGTGTCAATCTTTTAGGTTTTGGTCTAACTTAAAATATTAGCTATATTTGATGAAAAAATATTAAGCTGAACAAAAGTTATGAATTTTTCAAAAAATTAAATTTTTTTTTTAATTTTTGCAATTTGGCATAAATTTTTTAATTTATTAATGTTACAAACCAGAAATAAATTTATTAATTAGGCTTTTGAGATGGCCCTTTATCTCGATTTGGGGAGGCACCAAGCTGCCAGAATGTTTTATTATTCTGTTTAATTTGTGGGGACGTTATCCTACTTTTAAAAGTTACCTTCTGATTCGTTAAATGCACTATTTTTAAGATGATTTGAATTTAGGGTTTAGTTAGGTAAGTAAAGAAATTGATTCTATGAATACATGATTTATTTTAGAATAGAAAAATACCTTTTGAATACAGAATGATTATAGTGTGTTACAAATAGAAAATGTATGTGTGTTAGAATATGTAAATTGAAACGATACTTATTTACTTACAAACTACCGGCGGAGCTATTCCTCTTTTGAATCACAAAGCATCCGTCGGGCGAAAATTCTTTTGTTCTTGTTTCTACCGAAAATCGCGACGTAAGATTCGCGCAATTTTCTTTCGTTTGCGAGATTGCACTTGTGGCGAGTGGACGCGGGCAATATCTATGCAACCGGCCGTCTCACGCAACTGTGTAAAACTCACTGCGGATCTACCGTTTACCGAATTAGTCCGGGCAATATCTATGCAACCGATAATTCGATAATTGGTTTTGATCGCGCTCGTGGGCCACCGATATTTGAGACGGACGCGGGCAATATCTATGCAACCGGCCGGTTATAAATAACAAGATTTTAGAACTGTTTAATAGATTAACAATTCCAAAATCTCCCCAAAATCAGCCCGCACTGGACTCCACCGGCTCAGAGAATTTGAAAATTTTAACGTCTGCCCTAATTCATGCAAATCGGGTTCCGGGTCGCGGACGGGCTTTTTGTCGCGAAATTTCTCTGTCCCAAAACACTTTCTAGGTTAGACCCAGGAGAGGTGTCTTCGAGAAGAAGCGAGAATTCGTACTGCGATGATTGAAATTTTGCGACAAGCCTCTAACCCTTGCCTTTGGTGCAAAGCGGGGAAGATTTTTAGGAGTAGGAGTAAGTAGTAGGAGTAAGTCATGGGCCCATTGGTCTATGCATTTTTGCTGACGTTTTGGATCTCACGGTGGGTCCGTGAGAACGGAAACGGTCTGTTAACATGATACTTTTTTGAAATATTATTTGAAATAACTCAGAATTTAAATAATAATTATATTGTTTAATTAATAGAATTATTATTTATCTTAGTTATAATAGTGTATATAATTTATTTATTGTAATTATATTGTTCCTACTTTTTATAGGTTGCTTGTATATGCATTTTACATATCGAGTAGTATATATATATATATATATATGCATATACATACAACCTAATGTCCTCCGGCATTTTGTTGTAACAACAATGTTTACAACAAAATGTTTAACTATTGTTAAATTGTTTCTGTGTGCACTTGACTTGATTCATAAATTCAAGTGTCATAAGGCATGCCGCCTTGTAGTTTACGTCAGCTGTAACGCACGTGCGTTTGTTTTGAAGCTGTAGTCTACAGCTTATGGGCCCCGAGGGAAGAGGAAAGTTCTACGCACAACCAGGCAGCGATTAGAGGCAAGCATAGCGCGCTTGTGTTGGTGTCCGTAGCATGAAAGCCTTCAAGGTATTAGTTCTGTAGCCGGGGAAACCAGTGAGTGTGCTGGTGTTCATAAACGGCGGTCGCGCAGGCATGTGTGTGTTGCCGCCGACCATCCCCACACACGCACAACCTCGCAATGTATTTTCTTAGCTCTAAACAGCAATGACAAATAGAATATATATATATATATATATATATATATATATACATTGGCTGCAACATTGCGCCTTCTGCATGTTCTATAGAATTGAAATTTGGATACAAATTTTATATTTATTATTTGCCACAAGGTTCGATGTAGGCAGCGTTGACTGCGCCGGCACAATTATTAATGACTATTTATTATATTTATTATTTAGTAGAAGGAGAAAAGAAATAATAATTTCTTTTGTCCTTCTAACATTTTTTATAAGCATTTCTTAGCTAAAGGCATTCTCTCGGTAAGGTATTTGACGTTATCAGGGTGTCAAATATCCTCAAGCATAGCGTCGCTGCGTTGCGATGCTTTTATATGCTTGGGTTGATTTGAAATTAAATTTATTCTACATGGTTGTCAATTAACTTACTTTTTAAAAGACTAGTATTCTAACAATTAATAATATAAATGATTTTAAAGATATATAACAATAAATTGAATTAAAAAATAATATCCAAATTTTATTTTGTGTGCCGGTGTAATCTGCTATGTAATTATTTATAGTTCCATAATTAATTAAGAAAACTTTTGATTACATAAACTATTGTAATTAAATATCACTCCGAATCAATTTACGATAGCTTGACTTAAAGAGATTCTTCCTTTCAATATTTTATCCTTTGGACAACAAATTAATAAAGTTGAGTGATAAGCGTTAAATCCTTCCATAGTTTAATTGTTAGTACTAAAATAAATGATCATGCACTGTAAAAAAAGGGCGTCTTGGTTTGAGACGTTTATGTGGTCACATTTAAGACGTTTATAAGCGTCTTATTTGCCTTCTAAAATGCATGTATTCGGAGGTTATGTTTTTTATTTAAGACGGTCAAATAAGACGCTTATTTACAGAAGACGTTTATAAACGTCTAAACGTCTTATTTTTAGACGCCATTTTTTGCAGTGTGGGAAGGTGAAGAATTGAAAAATTCAATGTATCATCAAAATTGCGACGTTTCGTTGGCTAAGGTTTGCCAACCTCATCAGGCTAAATTTATTTAAACAGAAAAACACTTTAATATTTAAAAGGTTTAAAAACAACATTATACACCTAACTGAAAATATGTTTAAAGAATATCCTACCAGATTCGTTAAAACATAAAAATCGGGTTCTAACTCGTCAATATTAAAAAGATTTCATTGAGAAAAAATATTTTTTTATAACAATTTCCACATATATCAAAATTAAAAATGAAAAATTTCTTTGAAAGGAAGACATTTCAGCTTACTAGTTCAGTGTCAACTGAAATAAATTAAAATTTGCTATTTCGAGAAAGTCAAAAGAATCAAGATAAAGAAAAAGTCAATGAACTGAATGTAAACACAGTTTTATCATAGAGGGGGCAAGTTGTGTTATTGTTGTGTCATTATAGACAAGAGTCTAAACGTTTTAGAAGAGGAAGAAAAGTTCTGTATAGATTGAAAATATCTTCCTTTCTATTAATAGTGGAATGATTTGTTTTTATATGGATCATTTCAGATATTCGTCGATTTATAAAATTTGGTTCATTGTCCAAAATTTTGGCATTTTCTTAATCGAAGTCATGATTACAATAATTTCGATGGCGGTAAACTATAGAGTTATCATTTACTTTTTTATGTTCATTTATGCGAGTTAACAATGACCGTTTTGTTTCACCTATATATGTTGCAGGACAATCTTTACAGTCAAACTTGTATACAACATTTGTTCTGTCCCATTTTTTAGATGCATCTTTACCAAGTCTAATTATAGAATTGGAGTTTTTATCAATAAGTGGAATCGCAGTAAAATGAAACTCTTTGAAAATATTTGACAACTTAAAGAAACATTTTTCATTGAACGGTGAACAAACCTTCGAGATTTGACTGTAAATACTAATTTTATTTCGATTATTGTTGTTATTATTATTAACCTGAGAAAATTTTATATGGTTTGTATGAATTTTTATATGTTTATCAATAAAATCCAAAGGATAGTTATTGTTTTTTAAGATGGATCTTATCTTCTTTAAGTTATCAAAATGAAACTCTTTGTTGGACAATGGAATCGCTCTATCAACCAGATTGTATACAATATTCTTTTTTTGTTGGATTGGATGATCTGAAAAATAATTAATGAGTCTATCCGATGAAGTCGGCTTTTGATACCAATTTGTGACAATTTTGTTGTTTTTTCTAGTAAGTTCTAAATCAAGAAAATTAATTGAGTTATCCTTTTCTTTCTCAATTGTAAATTGTAATTTTTGATTGTAGGCATTAAAAGTATTGGTGACTAAGTTAACATGTTCTTTTTTTACACCTAATATGGGGCCGTTCAAAAAATACGTAACGCTTTTTGTGGGGAGGGGGGGTCAAGCTATTTGTTACGGTCAGCAGAAAAAATGGCGCTAATGTATACAACATTGCGTTACATGGGGGGAGGGGGGTCTAAATTTCCGAAAAATAGCGTTACGTATTTTTTGAACGGCCCCTATTGTGTCATCAACATATCTAAAATAAAAAAGGGGGGTACAATTGTGCTCCTCCTTTAATTTTGTGAAACAATCAGTTTTCAGATCATCCATTACAATGTCTGAAACGAAGGCTGAAATTGGTGAACCCATCGGTGTACCATAAATTTGTCGCTAAAATTTTTCACCAAGAGAAAAATAGGTGTTGTTAAATACAAATTTAGTA